CTGTAGAAGAAAGCCTTTTATTAATGAGGCCAACAGGAGAAAGCGTGTATTCTTGGCACGAAAGTTTATGTCAAAGGAGGAATCATGGTGGGTCAACGTTACATTTGCCGATGAAAGCAAATTTGATATCCGTAATTCAGATGGAAGAAGAATGGTGTGGCGGAAAGCGAATAAAGAGTTCCACCATCGAAACACGAGATGTACCGTATAACACGGCGGGGGCAGCGTGATGGTTTGGGGCTGTATTTCGTCCGAAGGAGTCGGCAATTTAGTTTTTATTGACATCATTTTGGACAAAAATTGTTACTTACACCTACTGAAAAGTAATATATTAAATAGTGCAGAAAAAATGGGAATTCGCAACAATTTTAAGTTTTACCAGGATAACGATCGCAAACATAAAGCACGCATTGTTCAAGAATTCTCGCTTTATCGTTGCCCGAAAGTTCTTCATCTTCATGATATATCACCACAATCGCCGAATCTCAATCCCATTGAAAATTTATGGAATAACTTAGATCGCAGAATGCTAAAAACACCAATTAACTCAAAAGAAGAACTAAAACAAAGGTTGCAGGAATAGTGGACTGCTATCGGTACGAATTATTTGGAAAAAATCATTTATAATATGCCCAACAGATTGAGGCACGTATCGAAGCAAAAAGGCTATGCGACAAAATATTAAAAAATGTGTTTATGTAAATAAATCAGGATTACATAATGTTACTTACGCGAAGTGTCCGAATATTTTTGTGACGTGAAAATTGGGTATTATTTTATTTATAATTTGCTATAGTGAATCCATACAAATTTATTACATAAAGCATATGTTCCTGTTTACTCGAATAAATGTCTTCTCACTGGAAAAAATAGCGAACACGATCCATTTATTATTATCTGCGATACGATCTGAATAATTCAGACATACCCTGGCGTCCGAATATTTTCGTGAGTCACTGTATATAATGTCGACTCTCGACTTTTCCGATGTTACGTTTTACGTAAAATAATAATTTGCTTCAAAGGCTGCAACCTTTCGTATATTACTATTAAGACTTCGGATTGCTATTTCAGGCAAACAAATATTTGATTTTTTCAAAATTTCAAACTGTCCTGCTCTTTTAACACTTTACCAACCGCTAGCCGATTAATCGGCTTTTTGTCGCCAACGCTTACCGATCGATAGCCTATTAATCGGCTTTTGTCGCTAACGCTTACCGTCCGAGAGCCTATTAATTGGTTGTCATGGTGATAAACAGTAACTATTATTATATAAAGTGTCGTTTGTTATTTACATGTTTATATTATTTTGAAAAACTTACCGTTCGCGATGAAAGAAAAAAATAGTATTGGAGAGTTTTATTTAGATGTCTATCAGATTGTCCTAACAGTTATTGGGGAAGTGAAAGTGGTGACGAAAGTGATGGCAGCGATATCATAATTCGGAAGCGAGGTTCTGTATTATTACTAAGATATAGTGATTCAAAAGACGATGAAATAAGCAACGTCGAAGACGATGCACATAACGTTAAAGATAACAATGACATATGGTCGACGAACGACGAAACAATAATTTTGCAACCTTTCGAAGGCAGTCCCGGCATAAAAATTATGCCAAGTCGTCCAGAAAATGTGACGGATAGTGTCAATTTATTCATTGGAAATGACTTATTCGGGTACTTGGTGAGGGAAACCAATAGATATCGCTATCAGGTCATGGAAAAATATAAAATTCCATCAAAAGCAAAAAAATGGACAGATATAACGGTGCCGGAAATGAAGAAGTTTTTGGGGCTAATAGTTTTAATGGGACAAGTAAGAAAGGACGTTCTCTACGACTATTGGTCCACTGATCGAAGTATAGAAACTCCATTTTTCTTAGAAGTAACGAGCAGGAACAGATTTGTGCAAATAATGCAGAGCTGGCATTTTTGCAACAATGAGAACATTTCTCACAATTTGCATAGACTTGCCAAAATCCAGCCTGTCGTTGATTATTTAAAGCAAAGTTTATCGATGTATATAAACCCTTTTAACAATTGTCTTTGGATGAGTGTGTAATTCCGTGGAGGGGTAGATTTTTTATTAAAACATAATCCAGCAAAAGTTACAAAATATGGAATACTTGTGAGAGTGCTGCGTGAAGCTGTCACAGGATATGCATGTAACTTTCACATGTATGCTGCTGATGGCAAAAAAATTAGAAGACACTGTTTTAACGATTATTGAACCATATAAGAACATATGGCACCATATTTTTCAAGATAATTATTATAACGGTGTCAATATAGCTAAAATTTTGATGAAAAATAAAGTGCGAATGTGCGGAATCATTCGAAAAAATAGAGGTCTTCCTCGATCACTCCAAACAATACAACTTTCAAGAGGTCAGCGTGAATTTTGTAGAAATCGTCAAATTTTGTTGGAAGTATGGAATAACTGCCAGAGAAACATCAATATGATCTCAACCATACATTCTGCGCAATTAACGGAATCCAGAAGTAGAAGTAAAAGATCAAGGGGCCCTATACAGAAGCCTAATTTAATCCGAAATTATAAGAAATATACGTAGAGCGTAGATTCTGCGGACCAATATCTATCATATTATTCCCTTTTTAGAAAAACAAAAAAATGAACTAAACGAGTTGTAATGTTTTTTTTATCAACTGTGCACTTTTCAATTCATTTAAAGGATACACAGTTCTCAACGGGAAAAATATTACGTACAAAAATTTCCTGCACAAAGTGGCAGTTTCGTGGATAGAATATTGTGAAAAAAATTATGCAGAACAAGATGACGATCTACCTAATTCTGAACTCACAAGAAGAACACCCAGATTAAACCATCCCGGAAGACTGTCGAATTTCGGAAAATATAAACTTATAAATTATAGTGACCAGCGGTCGAAATGTAAAACCTCAAAGATAATATAGAGTTTGAGCAGTTTAAAAAAAGAAGAAAGGAAATAGAACATGTTTCGTTTGTAAATTTTGCAATGTTTCACTACACAAAGGCGATTGTTTTGAACGATGTCATACTTTAAAAAAATATTAAACTATTTCTTATTTGGAGTATGTCAATATATGGATTATGGTATATTATATAACTATTTAACTGAAAACCATTGTAATACATAAAATAACTATAATTTAGCATTAATATCATGAAAATAAAAGAACTTATTGAATTTAATTGTCCTATAGCAACAGAAAGCGGGCAATTTTATCTGAGCATAGGCAAAGCACAGATACTTCCGCGCGACAGTCTAAACCGAAACAGAGCCGGCGCCAGGGCGGATCTGTGACCGAGTAGCCGGTCTGGCGTGCGTATACTGTTGAACCGCTAGCGGTCGGTAAAGTGTCAACATAATTTCAACTTCGTCCACTAATAATTTTTTACATTTTTTTGTATTTTTAAAAATATTCATTTGGTACCCTTTATACAGATACATATCACGTATATAGTATCATATAATACGTTTTCAATAAATCATAAGCGATTCACCCGTGTTAAGATACATAGAAATTATTAACAAAATACATTCATTGATATAATATGAATGTCTTTTGTTCTTTTGCGTAAAGTGTTTTCTAGTACTTTTTATATTTTATTATTTACACAATTATTTTGTACAGTACTGAAAAACGAAACTGGTAAATTCACAAATACGTATAAAAGAATATTAGCGATACAAAGCTTTATAAAACTTTTCTGAACAACGTATAATATACAGTCCAGTCTCCTATAACACGGTTAATTCGTCCCGCGTTATTTGGAAACTGTGCTATAAGAAAATCAAAATTAATTGAAATCAGGAAATGCGTTCTATGTAAACCGCGTTATGATAAACACAGTAATAAGACAAATCAGGTTAATTAATACCGCGTTATATGGAAACCACTGCCACGTTATATAGGAACCTCGCTATAAGAAACTCATAAATAAAATTTTATAATAGAAATGGAAATGAATGTGTAGATTTTTACATATTTAGGTTTGTCGAATATAATACATAGTTCATATAATGAAATTATAAACTACAAAAATTGTTTCCAACAAAAAATTTAATGTGATACACATTACTGACGCATCTTAATTTAAAATAGCATTCTAACATGTTAAAATTAAATTATTTATTACTTTGTTTTGTATAATTATCTTTTGAGTGCCTATCAAAGCCCTTATTAAAATCTTTCAAATTCTCTTATCCATCAACGTTATTCCATATTTCTTCCTATTTATATTTATTTCTGAGAGAAATGTTTTATTCTGAAACACTCTTATGAAATCGCTTCAGTCTAGTCAGAGCTGTCGGAAATTTCTTAGGTACCATGCAAAAATCATGTCTGAAATTTAGGATTAAAATTTTTCTAAAACGAAAGAAATAAGAGGTAACCTAAATCGTTGAGCTTCCAATTGTTAGATAAAATCTTTTTTATGTCTTATTGAAATACAATGAATGTTATCATATCGATTGAAAAATATCATTTGGATAATTTTGAAGATCATGCATAGAATTCGCACACCATTCTTGACATGACACGTAGCCAAACAATTATTAAAATTTTCATAAAAAACTGTTGCTATATAGTCTACATTTAAATTCATAAAAATGCCCGAATATTAATGTAAATTACTCTTGCTTAAACTGTTTGATTTGGTTCTTCTTTATCGTGGAGATATTTCCTAATCTTTTTCATTTAGAAACATTACACACGACGAATAATCATATTCAGTGATTTATCAATTATTTGAATTTAAGAAATTTTTGATTTTTTGAAATCATCGAAGTACACAGGGTTTACTCGTAATGAATCTTTTGAAATATGGAATCAAGAAGATTCATTATTATTATTACAATTATTTATTGTATCTATTACATTACATATTAGCTAACGATTTATCCAAAATTAAATTAAAATTAAATTTATTATTAACATGATAATGTAAATTATATTTTGAAATAAGCTATTTAATTAATTATTATGATATTATTTAGATTTCAGTAATATTATAGCGAAAGCTGATATCAAACTTCTGGCTGAAAGTGATGAGCAGGAAGTAGTGAGAGAAGTTCACGAATATTACGCAGATTATTTAGCTATTAGTCCACATCTGTTTTCACTTGGGATCAATGCATGCTCACAAGGTAAGTAATTTTTTATAATTGATTAATTGATAAAGAATTTGATAAATATAATATTTAATAATATGTAATGATGCGAGAAAAATGATTTAATACAGAGTATTTTATTTAACATGACAATTTAATATATACATATTATACTTTTGTTGATTTCATAATGCAAAAGAGTAATTACCGGACAAATTACAACGTTTTCCGTGCTATATATTGTTCAGGTTGTTACAGAACTGATAGTATAACGCAGGAGAACGGTGATTATATATCGGTGATTATACGTGATTTTCGAAAATTTTTCAAAAATATGGTCGAAAAAGAGTTGCAATTGTTAATTCTCTGTTTTATGTGATTTGTTTTGAACAATTTTTCTAACCTTTTCCTCGGTAATAAACTTCCATTATACTTAAATGGAGAATAAAATTCAGCACAATAAAATTAAGCTTTAAGTTTATCGATTAGAAGTCGTAATTTCACTACCAATAAAATTATCGTCTGTTGCATTAATATTATTGAAGTGTATATTATTTAATATTTTTAAATTTCTATATTTTATCATGATCTTATATTTTCTAACGATAAGTATTTATAGTATTGATAGACCCGTTACGATCTTTTAGTAGCCAAATCCTAAATACCGAACAGTACGTGACTCGGTGTTTATTTGTTTATTTGTTTATTTGTTTATTTGTTTATTGCACATTCTATGTTGCCTCGGGTCACCGGACACGCGGCGTCGTTCAGGAGTCTAAATTTAGACTATTAGGCTTCGACATTTAGGATGTGGCTACCAGGTGGACCGTCGGAAGTCGGGGCCAGGGCACGTGAGGTGGCCTTGCGCGTTTCAGTAACGAATCGTATTCAGATTGTTTTTTTTTTTTTTTTTTTTTTCA